TAATCTTGAGAAAATTGTTTCTGGATCATCCTGGATAACAGTCCTGATGGATCCCCCTGCTTGGAGCCTATCCCTGTTTTTTTAAGCTGATACTTTAAAAAAGTGTCCTCTGCCCTCTCTGGTTGCTTGTGGCAGCACAGTGAGTGCCATGGCTTAATCGTGATCGATTAGAAAAGAACTTGATTTTGTTCACACTCATTTTCAGGGACTGTGTTCGAGATACAAGGGGCCCAATATTCAAAGATGCAGTTCTCCGTGAGTTGAGATCTGAGTGAGTAGATCTTGAAAAGAACCACATTTCAGTCTCCTGAGGAGAATACAGAAAGGTGCAACTAAGCGGCTGGGTCCCAGAGAGGCCACGCTTGATTTTCCCATATGTTTATACATCTCACGCACAGAGGCAGGACCCAAACAAAACACACCCCTCAAATCCCACAGTCCCCACCCAACAAAATCCCCTTTGGATGACAGTGAAGCAGTGGGAAGAGCGAGCTCCATGCTGCTCCCCCGTGACCTTGACAGACCACTTTATCTCCAAGGCTGGGTGTAACGGGATGGTTTTGCCTCTTTGCGGTAGGTGGTAGCCGTAGCCGATCGTCGGCCCTACAGGACAGAGAAGCTGCAGTCCCACCAGGGTGACCTCCTCCAGGTGCTGCACAGCGAAGACGAGGTGCGGGGCTCGGGCCGCCTGCAGAGCGGGCAGAGGGGACCCTGCCCCACCAAGGGCACTGCCCAGCACGGTAAGTCCGCAGAAACGGCTTTATTCTTCTGTGGCTTCAGAAGATTTTTAGATACTGCAGTCTTCCAGTTGACAGTGAAGCAGGCGCTTCGTAAGGTACCTGAAGGATACTTCCATGATTAAAATGTCCAGTGGAATTAATGAGATAACGACCGTGGTATTGCAGAGCTCTCGCTTGATTCAGTCATAAACTTTCCCTTTCCAAAGGCTGACACTGTTGTAGAGATGATAGATTGCATATTACTGAGTTTGCCTGAGTCATCTTATTATATAAGATCCCTGTTCAGTTGCTTAGAACCTGCCAGAACATAATTATTTGGGATGAAATTTTAGATTCTGGATGTCAGCCACAGACATGATTTCGTTTTTTCAACCAAAACTTGTTCAGCATATTTGTGAGAACCCGTGAAGGAAAAATAGAGTTTGCCAATGCAAAACCAAGGAAATGAGTAAACATAAATAGACTGGTCATTCAGCTCCTTCAGTGCTGGTATGTTATGTTTGGAAGGCCGAAGCTGGAGCAGGGCCATGCAGTTTGGCAAGGGGTGGCCTTTTAATCAAAAACGCATCTCTTGCTCCCCCTCGCAAAACCACCCAGACGCAGTCAAGTCATAAGCCTTTGAAAAAATCCCACATGGCACCTTTTTGGTAGAAATATCGGACATTCAGCTGTTCAAAGGCGCTAAATCTGTAAAGCAGATAGATGCTACCATGAAGGTGCATGTTCTTCACAGCACCGGTCAGCAACTCCACTGTTTATAAGCCATTCCATCTGAACACAGACCAGACAAGAGCGGGGCCTGGGAAACGGGGAAGGAACAAACTGAGCTTAGGACCCTAGGGAAAAAGATCTCAAACTGGGACCAAAGCCAAGAAATGGCTGAACAAAGAGCTGGGGCTTCGGGGCTGGAGCGGGGAGAGGAGGAGGAGTTGCTGGGAGCGGCTGCGGGGTAGCGGGTGGCAAAGAGCCAGCGAGGGAGAAAGGAGGCACTGCTGGTCCCTCCTGGTGTTGGGGGCAACAAGGGGTGAAGGATGACAGACAGATAGGTTGAACAGGAAAAGATGTAGGAATTCGAAAAGAAGAGCAGAAAAGGGGGAAATGGTTCTTGTAGGGGGAGAAAGGGAAGCTATTGGGCAAAGAAACTGGGATGCTGAATGGGAAAGAGGGAGGAGCCAAGTTTAAATTAGAACAAAAAATAAAACAGAAAGGACTGACTGAGGAGTGGAAGGAGGGAGCGAGGAGGACGGGACAGGACAAACTCACCAGGAGCATCTGGACGAGCGAACAGCTGCAGGGCTGCCTAAGCTTGTGCAGCGTGGTGAGGATGTTGGATCCCGGTTTCCCCCAGCACGGAAGGTGCTCAGGTGCCGCGGCGGGGCATCTCCTGCAATAGCTCCCTAAGGTCTGTCCATCACTGCCACCGGACTCCTCAGTGACGCTCATCATCTCACGAAGCCGGTCTGTCCCTCTTTTCTGGGAGCCTGCTTCACACCTCCGGCCACAACACCCGGGAGCGCTCGGTTCCTGCTGCACTAAAACCTGTGCTTTGACTATGAACGGTGCTGCATCCTCCTCAAGCCTCTGGAAAACTGGATCCCAGCAACTTCTCATCTTAAACTCGGTCCCTGTTTCCCTGGTGTAACTCCGTGTCTTCCAGGAGATGATGAAGCTGTCTTTTTAAAACATCTGTGCAGATGATGACCGCAGTGGTCGGCAATACAGAAAAGCTGGTGAAATGTTAGTAGTTCTGTTCTCAGAAACACTGAGTGGGGGAAAGTAACTACAGGAGTGTGCACTGAGAAATAAAAGTGAAGGATGAACAACTGCTTTCTGAGGGAACACTGTCTATATATGCAGGAAGTCTGTGGAAATATGGTTTCTGGTCACAAATTAGAGACTGAATCTCAATGTCTAGATCCTTGGGGGGCGTGAAATAACTTTAGTATAATTCTGGTATTTCCTAACTTTTGAGTGTGTGACTTTACTGATTTAGCGTTTTAAGGTGAGGAAAGTAGAAAAGTTTGTAAATATTTGTATGAAATAAAAATAGCTCTTTGCTACAATATGCTGGTTTCAGTACGCCCTGTACTAATAATACCTACACAGAGAACTGGGTGCCATGAGAGAGTCCAGGAAGGTTTCTCCAGCTGTTTCTCAACAGCTGGAGAGCCAGCATAATGTGATATGAAGTGAGGTATATGTATGGATATGTATCTTCTGTTTTCATTAATCTCTGTACAAATGTGACCTCCACATAATTGTCACCCTTCAAAAACATCCTTCAACTTTCTTACTGGAAATAGTTGTGTCTGTAGAGTTTTCCATGCTTGCTCCATAGAAAAGTACTGCTGAATATTAAAGACACTTCAGACTTGGTAAAGCAGAACTTGAAATCTGGGTCATAGAGTGAACAGTTCAACTTCCAGAGGAAATTAAAAATATGTAAACAAGAGAATAGATGAGAGCATCAGCACACTTATTGCTAGCATCAGAAACCCTACACAAATACCAAAGGACGAGGACAGTGCGTTCCAGCGTGCAGGAAGGCAAGTAAGTGTAGTGGAAGGCCAGAACAAGAAACCCCTTGTCTGAAACTGAAAGCTGTGCTTTGCTTCACAGGATGGATAGATTTAAAAAAAAAATTGCACTTATTCTCCAGGAAAGAAGTACTCAGTTTTGTATGAAGTTCTTGTGCAAGTACTCGTCTTGGAAACACAGGGCAAGTCAGAATAACAGATGTGGGGCAACCTTTGTCCCAGGCCTGGACATCTATAGCACCTTCTGGAAGTGGAATTCACACCGTACCCAGCCACCACTGTCCTGAAGAGCGCTTATGAACCTGAAGACATGAGGACTTACTTTTGCTTACATACTTTGCTAAAACTTTGCCAGAACATTTTCTATATCTAATAATAAGAGGGACAGGCTGAAGGGAAGAATCAGACAACATAAGATCAAACACAAAAAAAAAAAAAAGTGGACATTAGCAGAAGCACTGATGCCTGGAGCCACTTGCCGAATATTGTTAGTACCTAATATGCAAGATGAGGGGAGGTAATTGAATTAAACTTTGACGTGAGGGATACAGTTAGGTACCTAATGCAATTACAGGGGGGAAGGACGGGGGGGAAGAGAGACGCAGGTTCAGATATTTGTCATGGTCAAATATTGCCCCCAGAAGGAGAAGACAGTTCTGATTGCTAACTCATGCTGGAGACAGCACTATAAGCAGAACCTTGGCTATTTCTCATGTTTGCTGTCATTATTTCTATTCCATTGGTCACAGCAATTGTGAATCATATTCTGTCCTCTGTCTCGGTGAATCTTGGTGTTTCTGTAGATCCTTGCTCTTCACTTACCTGAATATCTTTTTAAAAAACAGCAGACTACCAAAAATGGCCAGGAACAGAAAGAAAGAAGAAAAAAAAAAAAAGAGAGATCTCTCCACGTTCCCACAGCCAAATGAGAGGATTTGGCTCCATGAAAAAAATCTGGCATCCCTCACTCGTTTATTTCCTCAGCACAACTAACAGGAATGTCAGTGAGCATTTATCCATGGATAAGTTATGGGCTGAGCGCTCACTTGTAACTGAAAGGTAACCTCCAGGTTTGAGGACAGCAGTGCCACTGGGACAGACAGAAAGGTTGAAATCCCTCCCTGTGTTGGGGTGGATGTAGCACACATCTCTGCCCAGGTAAGAATAACTCCCCAGGGCGATCCAGAAAGGAGAATGCTCTCCTAGGCAGGACAAAGCTGGCAGCGGGGGCTCCAAGAGGCAAAAAAACTGCGTTAGCCAACCTCTGCTGAGGAGCAGCAGATGCGACCGCCCTTGGTATATACATACACACGAGTGTTCACGGAGGGGAGGGCTCCCACTTAGCTTGGTCTGCTAAGGACAGTTCATCGTCTCATTTGAAAAGTCTAGGAGCAAGCAGTTGGGTGACTCTCCAGAATGACTTATTTTGACATCACAGTAGATGATCATAAGAGAGAAGCTTCTGCACTTTTGGCTATGATCAAATCTAGTAGGACTATAACCTGAACCTGGGCTCTGTTCATATCTGGATTTAGCTGCATGGAAGGAAGCTTTTAATTCAAGCTGTGCCAATGGGATGATTACCAATAATGCCATGTTTCTTGTGCTTCTCAGTGGGAAATACTGAACGAGAGTCATCCAAGACCTGTAATCACCTGTTGGATGGAAAATCTTTGGTAAGTAAATACAGAAAGACCAACTACCATTGTCTGATGCATCTTAAAACCTAGTACCTGTCAGCATGTCCCACATTAACAGCATGTCAGTCTGTCACAGTACATGCAGGTTTCAGTCTTCGTTAAGGCTTTGAGACATGATTTATGCCAGAGGATCCTTATTGGGAGCAGAGACTGGCATGGAACGGCTGCCAGGAAGGGTTGTGGGATGGGAACAGGCTCCTGTTCTGGATGCTCAGCTACCTGCAAGAGCTGGGAGGAATTAGCCTCGTGTTTCTCAGGGAATTTCACAAATTGGGAAAAAAAAAATTTCTAAAGTGGAACGAGCATCAAGTAATTCATATTGTCCAGAATGCCAACCTGACATGATAATCAGAGCAATCAAAAATGTCAATAAAGCGTTGATGGGAAAATCATCATACAAAACCCAGAAGTTTGTTCTGTAGTGGACAGACAAAATGTTCTGGTTAAAAATGACTCAGCTTTACTAAAACATTTTCCCTCCCTTCTTTTTCTTACCAAAAACAATTTCCAAGTCCCTGCATTTTTTAAAAACTAGATTTTCAAACAGAAAATAGTCCTTTGAAAAGTTTCTGACCAACACCAAACCATGCTATAGAAATTTTACGGCTTCAAATGCTCTTTTGGATGGCTGCAATATACTCGCTAGCTGGTAGCAAGAAAAATGACTGTCCAGTATTGAAGGATGGTCAAAATTAACAATATTCAGTTATAACGAAACTAATTGCACCTACCAATAATTAGCCCAGTTAAATTTCAAAGGATGCTTGCAAAAGTGATTTTAAACATCATGAAGTCTTGGGATACTTGCACTAGTATTTGGGATACTAAACGTATCCAGTCTCAGATTAATCCCAGGGGAAATCATAGAATCACAGAATAGTTTGGGTTGGAAGGGACCTTTAAAGATCATCTAGTCCAACCTCCCTGCAATGAGCAGGGACATCTTCAACTAGACCAGGTTGCTCAGAGCCCCGTCCAACCTCATCTTGAATGTTTCCAGGGATGGGGCATCTACCACCTCTCTGGGCAACCTGTGCCGGTGTTTCACCACCCTCTTTGTCAAAAATTTCCTCCTTATGCCTAGTCTAAATCTCCCCTCTTTTAGTTTAAAACCATTACCCCTTGTCCTATCACTGTAAGCCCTGCTAAAAAGTCTGTCCCCATCTTTCTTATAGCCCCCTTTAAGTACTGGAAGGCTGCAAGAAGGTCTGCCCAGAGCCTTCTCTTCTCCAGGCTGAACAAGCCCAACTCTCTCAGCCTGTCCTCAAAGGAGAGGTGCTCCATCCCCCTTACATTTTTGTGGCCCTCCTCTGGACCCGTTCCAACATGTCCATGTCTTTCCTGTGCTGAGGGCTACAGGACTTCAGTCTAGTGCTGAAATAGCCCTTGACGGCTTAAGACCAGTTGTAGTAGTGACAATAATATGAAGAAATTTTTCAGTATTGCCAGTAAAATCAGTAAGTCTGTTTATTGCTTGAAATTATGAGAGCACATCATAATTTTTGACATTTTTTTTTTATTTCTGGGCAACTCACCCTTTAGCTTACCATCTTGGAGGGTATGCCAGTCTCAGTGACCTGTTTACGGGAAAATGTGACTCAGTTCTGGCGGGCAATTTATCATCAAATAAAACAAGGAGGAAGTTGATGATTAAGCACTTGTGGGGCTGTGGCAGAACTGGGGCATGAACCAGGGACCCTTACACCACAGAGCAGCAACCACCAAAATAGGGAAACATTTCTTGAATGCTCAAGAAACAGCGATGGCTGGGACAGCTGCTTCCCAGCTAGCAGTAGAGGTGGCCTGTGAAGAGCTGCAAGAGGCAGGCTGTTCAATCTGCACAAAGCGTCGGGAAGCTAGACAGAAAAACTAGGGAATAAAAAGTTCTGCAAGCCTCCCTCCTTCGATGGGAGGTGTAATTCTTGCTCATATGAGCCCTGTGCTGAGCTCAGTGAGACCGTTCATGTGAGCAATCGGTATTTGTGTGGGTAAGAGTTGGGCAGTCAAGTCCTTAGCCAGCCTGGTTTCTCTTGTTGAGAGATTTACAGTATTTATACCTTTTCCTAAAACAGCCTCTTTCCACAGACAAACCTGGGGACCCTACTCATCAGTGGCATTTCCTAATGACGTGCTTTTTCCTCCTGCAGTTCCCACCGTCGCCAGTTGCCCATATCGCAGCGAAAGCGGTGACTGTCACAGACTCGCCCGCAGGCGATGGCACTCCTTCAGACGAGTAAGTCCCTTCCCAGCCCTCCACCCAAGCCTGGGGGGCTGTGCATGGGGGCTGCTGGGCATGGAAGGGGATGGGGCCTCCACCTCAGGTCACCCTCTCACCAGAAACACAAAGAAGTGCTCAGCTGCAGATCTCCTCAGAATCGGAACCGTAAAACCTCAGTGATTTACAGTAAAGCCACGCTGCTTGCTTCCCAAAGGCAGGCAGAGATCGGCTAAAGAACGTGCTGATTCTATTGTCAGCCATGGCTGTTTACACAGCCACCTCAGTGCCAGTTACAGCGCTCTTTTATCACTAGAAGGAAAAGCATCTAAATTCAAAACTTAAGTATCTTCCCCCTAAGAAGTCTATAATATTTGCCCTAAGGCAGTTTAGAAAATGTAATCAAATATTTTTTAAAAAAAACTTTGTGGTCTTTAAGCATAAATAAGGAACAACTTGACCACGATACAAATGCACTCATCAGTAGACAGTTAACCCAGACATGGATCTGGGTGATACTGGAGATGTTGCCATTGCCACCTAAGGGACCCTAACGTGGCCACCCAAGGGACAGTAACAAGCCGTCACAGTGTCTTCACACTCTGTACGGGGACACATAAACCCCCCTCAGCTGGTGTAAGTCAGCTCAGACCCTTCGACCAGGTGGACCTCACTCCACCTGGGCGCTGCCGCGTGGTCCCCACGGCTTTGGTTGAAGGGCTCGTCTCTGTTCTCGGGCCACCTACCAGCTGTTTCTCTGGGGGCAAATGCTGCAGACAATGCGTCTAGTAGCAGTCCCATTTGTAGCCCATCCCCTCGTGTGAGTGTTCACCTTGATAGCGAGTGACCGAGGGGCTCCAAGGGGAGCAGGGGCGGCTGCAGCATCCAAGCCCACTGCCCCGCACTGCCCCTGCTCACCCCGGACTCGCCAGTCCCAGCGACGGGCCAGCTGCCAACATCCCTTGGCAAACGGGCAGCCCTTGGTTTTCAGTGGCCCGTCATCATAAGCAGGGAAGAAAAGCCACAGAGATTAACGCTTTATGCATCTGTGTTTTATCTTCTAGCCACAGGCAGCGCTGGAGGAAGACAGCAGAGTACGACCTGACCCTGCCACCTGGAGCAGAAGCTTCCCTACCGCTGACGGGAAGCAACCTGTGCGGGACGCCCAGCCTCCTGAGGAAGATATGGATGAAGCACAAGAAGAAGTCAGAGTACCTGGGGGCAACGAACAGTGCCTTTGAGGCAGACTGATATGGCTCAGCATCACCTGGAAAGACAGAAGGTCCTTTAGCCAGGACAAGGCACTCTAGGATCAATGAGGGAACAGACACAGCACAGCTCATCCAGGAAGACAATATCCTTTTTATTACTTGATGCCATTGCCTCAGAATGGTGGGAGAAAGGCTAACTAAGGTAAATGGTGAACGTGATGTAACTCACTGGCCTTTCTTTGTTGCGATAGACTAAAATCTCAAGTATCCCACTAGAGTTGCGTCTTGACTCAGTGATGCTGAAACTACTGCTGGCCCATTCAACATTTTACATCTCCTGTCTGCATTAGCTCGGACTCACAACGAGAAGAGCCTGCCAAGAGGTTTGTGTATTCCTGCAAGGCAACAGATCAATGAGAGTGCCGTTAAATCCCAGGGGTCTGCTGGTTATGTACTGCTGCTTGTCCTCTTCCCCCTCTCATATCATGAGATAAAAAACACATACAATATGCTTGGTAGAACAACATATGCTAAACATCTTTTTTACTTCAGTTTTGATGTTTCAAGACAGAAGTAAAAGATGCAAAAATTTTAAAAGAACGGGTGAGCCAGAACTGAGCAAGTTTGCAAACACACATTTACCAAACTTTGCTATGTGACAAGTGATTGGTGTTTCAAAGTGTCCTGCCAGATCAAACTATGAGCAACTGGGTAACCTCAAGAGATACTTTCTTCCATGGAACCTGCTTACATGTTAGTTGATCGTCAGCAATTTGCTCTCTGCCTATGTGGTATAGGATAGTTCACGAAGTGCACAAAATACTAGGAGTAAAGAAGATAGGTAAATGGTGCAGCTAGGCATCTAAACATGAGATATTTGCATAGAGGAGGCCTGTGCTTATGAAGAGATGGATTTAATGTAATTTTCTCAAAAATTTTCTCAAATTTTTATGCAATTTAGAAATTGCTGATCATGGTCCCTTGTTTTTTTCTCTCAAAGAAAAAAAGGTTCACAAAAAAGATTTCACCAGTATTACAGACAATATTAGTCCTGAACAATACTTGCCTCATATGAATGCTCCCTTGGTTGTTATAAAAGACTTCAGTTTCCCTAAATACAGAACTTTAAATATCAAATTGGAGGAAGTGTGTCTCCTGTGGCTCATAGTAATGACGATCTCCTCTAATCTAACTGCCAGTGCGCCAAAGCATAAATGAAAAAAAAAGGTTGCACTTGATGACAGAAGCAGAGGAAAGAAGCTCCCATCTGAAACTTGCTTGCCTGCAGCCAGCATAGTAAAACATACTGAGATGCCACGGCACAGTGCCACGGTACCAGGGTGAGGAGGCTCCACAGCCGTGAACCTGCCAAAGGGCTGAACCATACGTCCGCAGCGTTACCAGCGGTTAAAACTCCTTCCCCTCCTACCACAGCCACCAAGGCAGCTTCTGCACTTGGGATACCTGCTGACTTCATGCACTGCTTGCATTAAGCTCACCTTCAACCTGGACTTAGAAAAAAGCATATTCTGAATTTCTTTTACAGCACAGGACTGAGGGAGCAGCAATTTCTCTTACACCACTGCCCTGAGCTGCGGGCTCAGGCAGTTATCTCTGATCACGGACCGTCAGCTGAGAGGTACCAGGGTACCTCCTGGGAGGTACCAGGTACCTCCTGGCTAAAGCAGCCAGCTCTGCTGGCTTTGGGTTCACAGGTTTGCAGCTCGACAGCCAAAATCTGCGGGATGGGAAAGCAACTGGAGCAGCCCAGTAGCTGGCTTGCTTTAGAGAGCCAATGTCCCCCGTGGCTCCAAGGATGGTGTCAGGGGATGCCTACGTGGGGCTGAGCCTGCTGAAGAAGGCAGTGAGATGGAGATGGACATACTTATTTAAAAAGGTACTATTGCTTTTCATATGGACAGAGCCAACCCAGTCCAGAGTCTGCCAAGGAGGAGAGAGGCACTAGACCTCCATAAAATACCTCTGTCAGCCCTCATGTTCAGCTGTCCATCACTGCTTCAGTCACAGGCTTCTCCTTCAGAGGTTCTCATCAACTCACGGAGGACAACCTTGCAGCTAGAAATCACACAGCCTCTCCCCTCCTCCTTATCCAAGGCAAAAGTCCTTCTCTGTCCCAGCAGCCTGACAGAGGGATGATTTGCTATCCTGCTTTTGTCTCTTCCTCCTGGGAAAGAAGGAGCACACAGCTCCTCATTAACCAGGAGCTGAAAGGCCCCAGCTACCGGCAAGGCAAGGAGAAGAGGCGATGATGGCCCGGCATTGACCACGCGTAGCCAGCCATGGGGTGTGAGAGCAATGCCGACGCCCGCGGAAAGCTGCATGCCTGAACAGCACCAGAGCAGTTTTCTCATGGGGGTCCACCCGGCCTGACACACTGCCCGTGCGTAATAGTCCAGACACCATAACCCTGCCAACATCAGGTCCTCCATCACTGAACCAAGCTGGAGCCATGGCCAAGTTTTTCCTTCAACGTCTTCTACAAGTATCACCAACCACGCTACACCCCCTCCTCTCCACCCCATAGAAATCCTGCCAGGAACCTTGGCCTCGTGCGCACATCCTATTTTTACACGTACAGGTACACCTAGTTAATTCAGTGGGACTACTTTCTGGCACAGCAATGCATACATTCAAGGAGTAAGCAGAATAGTAATCACCAGTTCCCTTTTTTGGTCTCATTCCCTAAGCAGAGAAAAAATAAAAAAGATGGACAAACACTGAAGAAAGTCCATTTGCTGCATTTGGGGTAGTGAAGACAATGAGCATTTCTGGTACCTGCCCTTGTAGTGAACTTGACCCCACAGAGCACCCAATACACAGTCCAGGGCAGCAAGAATTTTGTCTGTCAGGAGAACTGTATCTTAGTATTTTAATTTTTTAATTAATAGCTTTAAGCAGTATGAGGATGGAGGACAAAAAGAGATGATTAATGTTTCTACGTAATAATTGCTGTATTTTGAAATGTGTATTTATGTTTTTCTTATTTATTTAATTTATAATTTGGATCTAAGACAGGAGGAGAGATTTACAAGAAGCATATTTAATTTCTCTGTATTCCAGGAATTTCTGTGGAGATTTCTCATATTGTAGTAGATACCTATTTTATTGACACAAATAAAATATGTCCTATCCATTAAAAAAAAAATAAAGAAACAAGTAGCATGTGGTAACATACGGGTCTTAGTGACTTAGAAGTTTTTGGGAAGCATTTAGTGGAAAGTAAAAGCAGCGTCTATGATACTGAAGAACACGAACACCTGATGACGAAGAACCCAAATTTTGGTCCCCACAGGGAGAATCTGGAAGTGTATGTTTGTGAATGGCTCCAATATTTTATGGGTGGTAGAATCATCATTTGTTATCAGATACTCAGAGAAAAGCCCTGGGACTGCCGAGAGGAGGCAGACATTAGTTACACATTTACACGTGACCTCAAGCGCATTGCAGACGCAATGGGATGTAAGCCGCGTCACCTCCCTCCCACCAAAAAAAGAGCACCAGGAAGAGACTCCTCAAGGGTTGAGAAGGGTTTGGTAGAGAATAAAACCAAGTGCTCCCCATCTTCAGTCCTACCAGTTGACCACAAAGTCACTTAACTTACCTCTTTGGAGACCCTGTGATGAGCCATGGCCCAACACGAGGTGGCACAGGTTCGCAGGAGCCCAGGCTAGGGAAGCTGTCTCAGGAGTGCAAGGGAAAAGACTTTAAGATACAAGGAAAGACAACATGTGGTGTTGGTGTTCTTCACCAACCCGAGCGTCGGAAAGCCCATCCGGGAGAGGATGACTGGTCCCCTGCCGGCTGCGCTGCCCATTCCCCGCACAGCTCTGGTGAAAAGGTGCCACATTTCTGGTCCTTCCATTACCAACAGTGTCTACATTTAAAATGAGCAATCAGGGAGTGTCCTCTCGACGAGTGCCCGCACCTCAGGACTTGGCACAGATTTTTTGCCAGGACGTGGGCTAACAGCCTGGCCGCTGCAAAAACCCAACCCTTAGTCATTTGTTAAAAATATCAGCAAGAATATGGATGAGGATGTGGATATGCAATACATTTTCCAGATGAAAACGTACAGAAAGCAATGTTGGGTTGAATCCAGCACACTGTCAGAAAAATGTGAAATGGTGATTAAAAAAAATGGCTGAACAGAAAAGTTGTTAACTGTGCAGCTGAAAGCATCGCCTCTGGCACTGCCTGACCCATGCATACAGCCATACTTCATAACATCTCTGAGAAAATGCATTTTTCAGACGTGTTTTGTGTCATTTTACAATTCTGGGTTCCCCAGAACTACAGATTAACAGGAGCACTGACCTGACTGAAATAAACTGCATGATGACAGTCCATCACACTTACAGTAATTTGCATTTCATTGCCAAAAAAAGGTTTCTAATTTCTTCTCACCATTTCAAAAACATCTTTGTGATAGAGCTACTCATTAAAATCTCCATCATTCCTTTGCATACCACTTTATTTAAATAAACTGTAGTTAATTTAAAACTAGGCTATTATATAAAATAATTCCTACTGATGCATGAAAAAAAAAAAATCTCAGCTATGCTTTGCTCTCCTTTCTTCCCCTTTTGCACTCACTTTACAGAACCTGTAGCAAGTAGGTTTGCCAGAAGAGCTGATCACGGACACATCACTGTTTGGGCAAATACCACACACTTCTTACAGAAAACATTTTTAACTCAACTCAAACATTGGCATCTGCAGAATAATTTCACATCTGAGAGTTACCCAGCCGGAAAAGTTGCAATATCAGGACTTGCACACACAAACAAAACTGAAACAAGTCAGATTTCTCAGATTAAACCCCTGCTCAAAAAGTCATATGCAAACTCTACAAACAATGCAGATGTCAAATAGCCATAAACATTTTATGAGAGATTTTTAAAATCTCGGCATAGATTATTCACGGGTGAGCAGCTCCACCCTACATGGTATTGAAAACCCTTTTTTTTTTAAAAGTGGCAGAACTATTGTTTAAATGAATGGGTACACAGATAACTAAAA